ACATACAAAGATGCGAACGCTAAACTCACGAACCTCCCCTCACCATGTTAAAACTATAAGTTCTCTCTGTTCGGGGGTGTCAGGATACAACTGAGATCCAAGAATGTAGAGACAAGGTAACGTATTAATACAAGGGTAGTCAAAGTCAAGCCGGGGTCAAGGAGTACAGAAAACAGGACAAGCGAGAAGCCAAAGCTGGGTCAAGGAGTACAGAAAAAAGAATAGTCAAACAAAGCCAAAGTCAAAAGCCAGAATATAAATCACTGAATACATAATAGCACTATTGGGACCAAATATTAACCACAACAGGGCAAGGAACCTAACTCATGAAATCCTTTATACTGTGGCTGTAGCTTGTTAGGACGATAGCCACACCCCCAAAACGTCATCATTCAGAAGTTTTGGTGATCTGTGACGTCATTTGCGTCATGACGTCGACGCCCCTTTTTCGCATCATAAAATTTGAAATCTGTCTTATTGCGTTATCTATAAAACATTTTAAAAACACATGTATGTAAATCAGAAATGAATATAATTAAATGTAGAAAGATTTACTGTTCACTACTTTGGCGACTCATTAGTAGGTTTACAGTACTTCTAGTTTTAATTATACCATGCAGTGATTGATACCCTTTTTTTTTTTTAAATCGGATCTTTCAGGTAAAATCTGTTCAGGTGAACTCTTTCATAAACCAATTCAGATTGTAGTACTGATCACCCTCCTGTTACAGTAATACTGCGTTTCAAACGTCATGTGGTGTTAAACTAACTTTAAGTACATTCAAATACATTGGCTTCCAATCAAACACGTTTACATCAATCACTACAAATGCGATTAAGGTAAAAGCCATTAGCATGTCTCCTAAAAGAAATGGTACACTAGAGTTTCTCACAAATTTAGTTTTTTTAGTTTATGTTTATATCATATTAAGGACTCACTCTGCTTTCATTACGACTACCAAATACAATGCGAAACCCTTAAGGACCAAACTTCTGGAATAAAAGGGAATCATGACATATCACACATGTCATGTGTCCTTAAGGGGTTAACTAGGGTCTCTGCATGTCTGACTCTTGCAACGTCCGTCATATGCTCCTTTATGTTTCAAGATATCCAACGGGATATTGACTTTGTCATGTTATCTGTTTTTCTGTCTAGAAGTTTTACATTCATAGGCATATTAGGATACAGACAATTTTCATCCCAAGCCTATCAGGTAAACAATAATGTATTCATCATACCGACACATATCATCTTTAAGTTTAGGCCGCTATCTTACTCTCCTCTTCATGTTCCGCTCATAAAGCGTAAATTTTGTCCTTCTGTTAGTTACTGTATTTCCCCTTCTAATTTTCGGTTCACATCACAATCGGTGGTTTCATCAGGTGCCATTTTCCTGTCCTTCAATCTCTGATTCTATTTAGTTTGTTTATGCACGTACGTTTACGCTCATTCACAAAAGAGACAAGGATAGGAGCTGACCTTAGTCTAAGTAAAGTAACATATCGGTCCTGCAAGGTCAACTCCCCACCTCAACATGGAGGTTTCACCTAACAACCCAACTCATAGTTAGTACCTGGCATAATCTTCTGCAGGGTCATAGTCAGAGCCTCACATGTAATGGCCACACGTATTGACTGTTTTACCGTCACTGCATGGCCAACTCCCCTCCACAATGCATCGTAGCTACGAGCCCACATGGCCCAAATCATAGATAGAGCCTCTCACAGCCACTTGGCAACTAGCATGGTCTCACCTGTCACTGGGTAGTTAATATCTTTGACTATCAGCACTAGTTAGCAAGCCAGTTCTACATAAGGGATATTCTCAATTTGCATCAAAGTTTCGCATGGTTAACTTATTATTAATTTCCTTATTGGATGTTGCAAGAAATAGTTCCAGGTGATGTTTTATCTCTAAACACTCCAACCCTGTCATCCCAGGTCCCTCGCAGAATCCCCTGTCCCCGCTACTCCCAAGGCCCTGAGGTCTGGACCTTGCTTAAATTTGGCATTTGAGCTAAAGTCACGGATGCGCTATGTTCCTGGCCACAGCTGGAAAGGCTGCATATACCCCGAACAAGCTGGTCATGCCATAAAGCTGCACACACCAGTAATCCTGTTAACTCACTACAGTAATCAGCCTATTTTAGTCATTCATAACATCACAGCGTATAATACCATATACGGTATTAGGTCCTCTCTATAATAATCTTACCTTGAGAGTGGAGTCCAACACACAGAGTTAAAGCACCCTTTGCAATTTTACACCAGCCAAGTGGACTCAAGGCAGAAATCCGCAAGGCGGTGAAACAGTTCACTAGGGCTGATAACCAGTGCTTCCAGGAACGAGGTACAGGCAAGGCGTAGTCAGGGACCAAATAAATAGTCAGGACAGGCGGCAATCAGGCATAAACAAAGGACGAGCAGAGGATCAAGAATCAGGAGTCAGATTAACAGCAGAAACACCAAACAGGAACAAAACGATCTGACGATGTGCAATAACCAAGGCGGGGTTTATATAGGATGATATCAGCCACATATCAGGAACAGGTGAGCAGGGTCCAGGCGTAGAGACAAGAAGAACAGGATACAAGGAACTTCTGAAAGTAACCAAAGAAGTGTGGAGCTCAAGGTAGGGCTACTGACTGAGAAGCAGGAGAGACAGGTTCAAACCCAGTCAGGCCCAAATATACAATATTGTGTATGACACGATGAGAACTGTGACACTCTCAAAACTATTTTGATTTTTATCATACGCATTACTATTTAGTCCCCTACATGGCTAGGTTTTGCAACCAACTGTATAAATTTTATGTCAGGCCCAAATTTGGGCCTATACACTCAGTTAACCCCTTAAGGACACAATTTCTGGAATAAAAGGGACTCGTGACGGAATATTTCCATCATGTGTCCTTAAGGGGTTAAATGACATTAATTTTAATTGGTGTAACCATTCACACATTTAATGTAAACCCTACATAGGACTCAAGTTTTATTTTAGATTTAGTTATTTTTTTACTTAAGGGTTGTTGGTATTGGTTACTTCCAATACATTTTTAGCATAATTACAATACTGCTGAAATTATCTGTACACTTTTTTGCCTTCCACGTAAATACTTTCGTCATATGTTCTCATTGACATCGTTTTAATTACCTACAATTTCTCTCTTCTCCAATATCACTAGTCTCCCAGATCTCAACCTATTCCACTCTTCATTAAAATTCTCCATAAAAGTTGCCCTTGCAAGGTTCATCACTTCATATGTACATCACTTATCCATCTCCAGGCTATCCCAAATTTATATTAGGCCAACATGGGCCTGCGTTTCGAGCAATTACTTGCCAACAAGTATGGTCACATTACAGGTTCACAATTCACATACACTTTAGAGCAAGGTTCCCAACCTGTGGTACGCATACACCCAGTGGTACAATTCAGCTCCTCTGGAGGTACTCAAAAAATGGTGTGCAAGGCTGATTCAGGGCAGGTGTCGAAGTGCACAACATGATGAAAGTCAGATGGAGACTACTTCCATTCAGGGTATGTAAAGTATGTAAAGTTTTAGTGTCCCTCCGCAGGAAATCGCTACGTCGAGACCATGATGACTTTTTACAAAATACCATTTACAAAATAACACAACACCATTAATTCTTACCTTCCAGTAATACTACATCACAAACTCCCTACTTTTCCCAATCGTACTCCCTTTCTTTACTCATATTCCCTTACAACAATATCGTAAGGCAACACAATCCATTAGACTACTCTTTACCAAACATATTCAGGAGCCTATCCGATTTCTCAGATACTAAACAATTCAATAGTAAAGATAAAGCGGTTATTTAAGTGGCAATTTTACATTGCCTTCCACAGTTTCTCGAGGCCCAGAGAAATCACAGTGGTACACCATATGAAGTCAACTCCGACCTTGTCAAAAACGCATCGACCCCTACATTCTCACCCTTAAGGATTTCCAATCTAATCAGATCAACCATCCAACCACTATATCATTATTCCTGATAGACAACAACTGGCCCCTGTTAATACTAGACACGTGCATACCTACGCAACAGCCTCCACCTAACTCTGTTCCAGTCACTTCACAGGCATCCACTCATCCCAGTCCACATCATTAAATTTAATAGAAGGTTATCACTGTATTCAGTACATAGATTCCGCTTCATGAATAGAGCACGGGAAATCGTTCAAGTTTATTTTTGTAAGCATGCCAAAAAGAGTGTTTTCACTGATACCTTTTTGGTCCTCTTTATACAGGCCTACCCGTACATT